CCAGTACATTACACTCTGTTTGTCTACTTTGCCCACCTCTTCCACTTGGCTGAAATGGTGACTGCAAGCTCTCTGGAACAGAGGCTGCCTTTAGAGTGTATGTGTGCATGTGCACACGCATGTGCACAGTGTCTAGCACAATGGATCTCATGCATTTCAGATGTTTCTATCTCTGCCACATAACTCATTTCCCATAATGGAAGACCTAAAAAGGTTAAAACTTGGGTTAAAACCAAAACTTAAGTAAATTTGTTACAAACTATATTACTTCTTCAACTAAGTTAAATTGGCTCTGCTTGTGGAAATACAGAAACAGCAATCTGGAACAGTCGCCTCAGATAGCTTGAAACCAACTTTATTCCTAAGCACTCCCTTCCCAAATTTGCCTTACTTTTGCTCCTTTTGTAGAGCTTCAGCATGCTGCTTGTTCTCATACTGCCACATTTGCAGCTCATTCTTCATGGCATCCATATCCTCCTGAATGTAGTCCATGATTTTCCCAAGCGGAAGTGCACTCCGACACAAGGTCTGAATAGATCCACGAAACTTCTCTATTTCTTTAGATACTAGGTCCTTCTCTTTTCTCCTGGCTGCTTCTGACAGAAATGGCTTCTCCTAATTTAATTGTTTTAAAATAAAAAGGAAGGCTTGAAGTCAAGAAAAGTGCTGAACATTTAGTAGCAACTAAAAAGATGGCTTTATAATGCCCAATGATGTTTTTAAAGATGTTGCTTCTGGCAGGCTGGAATGAAGCCAAAGCAGTACTGTAAAGCAGCAAGCGTATTCTCTAGCACCAACATTACATTTATTCAACCTTAGTTATTTAAAAATATTTGTAGATGTAAAGACAGCGTCCTTGCTGCCTAAAGCAATACAGAATTGCTCATAACCAATCCAAGCACCAAAAACTGTTTTCCTTATTGCTCTGTTCCAGTGAAGCTACCTTCTCTGCAGCATCCTCATTCCTGGCTCTGCTTCCTAAGATCAAAAGGGTTTTGATTTTTTATGCTGTTTGAGGGCAGTGATAATAGGGCAAGTGCAAACCAAGCACCCTATTGCCCACAACACACTGGCCTCCACTGCAGAGTATAGCCGTTACCCACACATTCCTATTTGTTTGCTTGAATATACGGGAGCTGATTGTCCAAGAAATAAAAGCCCATTCAAAAGGATCAATTGAACATCAATAGGATGCAGAGTGACAGGAACAGCTGCAGAAGTAGTCAAAGCACTAGTGGAAAGTAGGTAAAATACAGCCAAAAAAAAAAAAAGAAAAGAAAAAACTGGATCAGATACAGATGTAGGAACAGCTGAAGCAGAAACCTATGGACATGCAGAAAACTATGTTTTTGAGTAGACTTGCTCTGTTCTGGGATTACTACCTGTTTGCTCCACACTTGCCCCCTACCCTTTTCTCCCTTACTCTATCCTTCTCACCCCTTTCCTTTTCTTTTCATTTACTTGATCCCTTCTTAACTACCCAATACTTATCCCCCTTCCCTCCCACAGAAAGTGGAGCA